CCTGGACCAAGGGTGTGACAATAAACGGGCAGCACTGTAAAACATGTTCTCGCATCATGCTGTAAATTTGTTCTGTATATCTCAGGTAACATTTCATAACTTAGTCAGTGTTAACAGTGAAGCAAAATTAGGTTTGTCAGTGTCCTAAACTAGTTAACTGCTAGCTGTAACTAAGTTTCCTGTAGGTCACAGCTGATCACTCATTACAGATTGATAACATTATTAGTCTTTTAACTACTGCTGTCTCATCATTAATGATCAGCAGATAGAAATTAAGATAACATTTACACCACAGTTATCCACTGTTATTGATTAATGTTCCCTCAGTTCAATGAATGAAGCTCAGGTCTGTTGTGTGACTTCATATCACTGTTCTTTGGTTCAGTATCAGACTGTGGACTGTTTTTAACAGCTTCTGTTCATTTCACTAAGAATCTGTTGAAATGATTCTCTCTTTCAGAAAATTATTAGAGGTCTACCCACCATGACGTGAGCATCATACTGAACCACAGAGGTGAGCTATAGTTACATTAGGCTGCTATTTAATGTAAAACAGTACAGCAGACTGTTTTCTCTACAACAGTATATTGTCAGATAACAGTGTGGAGCTCATGTAATCACAGTGGTTTCTTTTCATTTTTCTTTACAGCCCACATTATGATACATTGGGGAATAAGAGTAAACTTTATTGTCTATCTGAGGCAGTAAAATGTTCTAGGCCTCATCCAGAAAAACAAACATTTCCATAATACTAAAATATATGACAAAAACATCACTTTCTATTGTGTTACAGTCATATCCTGCTGTGTTCACTCATGTTTATGTTAAAGCAGTTGGAATGAAACAACCTTGTAGATCTTTTTCTCACTGTTAGTGTCTTTTCCTTCCAGCCATGATGTGGATCATTGGGAACATCTACGTCTGATGTGATCTAAGATCTACAGAGAACATGAACATCCGGCTGTGGTTGTCTGAGGTAGAAGAGCCTTCTCCCCTTCTTCACCCACTGCAGTAATAACAATAAATTACAATATATATATATATAAAATATTGTTGCATTGCAGTTTCAGCTCTATCTCTTCAAACAGCACTTGTCTTGTGTCTGTAAAGTATTTACACTTCACTGTAAGCTGGGTAACACGTTTATTTCATCCATTTATTACATGCTTTTACACATCTTTACAGTTCAGTATTGTTTAAAAATAATAAAATAATTCCTAAATGTGCAATAAAGGTACTTATGAAGTTCTTGCCCTGCTGATGTTTTAATGCTGTATATCTGCTATAAATGAAAGCAACATGTACTCTGTATTGTAATAACGCAACAACAGCAGAGATGAAGTTAAAGGCAAGAAATGGAACTTGTGAATACTAAAAACAAAGAATAATAAACTGCTAAAAGAGTCGGTCTGTCCTTCCATAAGTGAAAGCTAAACCGGAAGTGGTTCACTGAGGATGTCGTTCACTCAGTCTCCTTCATCACAACCACATGGCACCAGATGAGGTTTTTCTTCTGCTGGCTCTGCTCAGAAGATCCTCACAGTGAATATGAGACACACCTAAGATGAAGAGAGAGATCAAAGTATCAGCATCAACATCAGAGGGTCGTTTAAATTAACCTTGGAAAGATTTCCTATTTCATAAATAGCTTTCTGAGCACTTATAGAAAGAAAGGCCACTTCACTTCACATTTAAATAAGAAGTTATTTTTTTCTTCAGCTTAACTGTGCTGCAATTTAAATGTTATATTTAACTATAATGTCAGTAACTGCTTTGGTCATATTCCTGGAGTTTATTTCTACAATCTACACTATAGTAAGAAGTCTCCAAAAACAGTTTTATTACCTTTATGTACCACATTACAATAACACAACACACATTAGCTGTTTACATGAAACACAATACAAACATCATTAGCTTAATGCTACAATATATAACTTTTAATTAGGCTACTGCTGATCAGCTAGCCTGGTTAGCACAGTGCATCAGTAACTTACATTAAAGGTAATATTTACTAGATGCTAACTATCTTCTCTTGTCAATACACACAGAAATAAACTGCTCCAAATCCTGGAGTTTACTACACACATTACATCCAACACTACAGTTGCATATTAAGTGCATTAAAACTGGCACCAATAACAAAACAAACATTTACTTACCAAACAGACGGTCGGAGTCCATCCAGTGTCTCCTGGTTCAATCAGCCTAAGGTCCTAATTACGGTGAACTGAAAACTGATTAACACAAGTCAACGGACAGTAAAACTGTCTGCAGAAAATGTGCTGCTACTCCACCGATAAATAACAACGAACTAATCGTTAATTATATCAGATGTAAATGCAAACGAGGAGAACACCTGGGTTCATGGTGAATGAGTGTTGAGGCTACCTCGCCCCTACGACCTGTCAATCATTCCAGACCAGGCTGTCAATCAAACAGCCACGCCCCCTCATGTGACATAAACTTTGACGCTTTATACAAATTTCAATATTGAATTATTTTCAGAATGACCATCTGATCTCTGGCTTTGACCAGGAAAACCAACAAAAAATACATAAATCCTGACCTGTAGAAAAGCTGTATTCTGTGATCTGAGTTTTGCTGTGTGGTATTGGGGTCTATGGAGCCTGAGGTTTTTGGAGCCAGCCCCTGTTGGCCGTAGTGGTATTGCAGGTTTTTGACACTTCTGGGTTGGCTTCCCTTTCCAAAGCCGGTTGCATCCATCTTGTTTACACAGTCTATGGTTGAAACGTTAAATTGAGAGTTTACTTGTGTAAACTTGAGGTTTAGATTAGCGGTCTTCAACCTTTTTTACACCACAGACCGATTTTAAGCAAGAAATTTTTCTACAGACTGGTCATTGCGCACATAACAAATAATAATTGTTTTTTTTCTATTAAAAAGTTTCATAAACAAATAACGTCTTTTTATTGCTAAGTATGTGTTTACTTTTTTTTCTGTCTCAGTATCCAGTCTCTCCCACTTTCCAAAGAAGCTCTCCTGAGACGTTTGTTTTTGACCGATGGCTTCGTTTAACAGCCGGGCATAAAAACTGACAGTCAAGTGCGGGAAATGAGCACAAACAGAAGTGACGGGAGGACGCGCTTGTCATTTTTCAAAATGAAACACCCTGCAGACACCGCTGGAAATGAAAAATAAAACAATAAAATGTTTTTATTCTTTTTGTGCGGCCCGGTACCAAATGACCCACGGCCTGGTACCGGTCCATGGCCCGGTGGTTAGGGACCGCTGGTTTAGAGGAGGCGAGTACAAACCCGGTTGTTTTCTGAAGGTACAACTTACAGATGTCCCCTAACTGCTTCACTTGCAGACTATCAGTAGATGCTACAATTTACCAATGTTTAGAAAATGCCTCACAAGCATCGGCTGTGCACAAGGAAGCCTCTAGCCTCCAATCAGCTACCGCAGTGCAGCAGTTTTGATTGTTGTGTGAAAAAAAAAAGTGCATGAAAAGAGTAAAATCAGTCGCTCTAAAGTCAGATTTACCAAAGTGAAAAACAGTGATTTATCTACCTGTCCAGGTCACAAAGACATACACACAGACAGACCTGCTTAATGTGAGGTGAACCGGTGCAACCTGTGAAAATGCTTAGCTGCACTTGACAGATGTGAAGTGTTTGTTTAGCTCAGGTTAACCTGCAGGAGTTTCTGATAATGTATTCTGCTGCTTCAGAGGAAATTATTCCATAACACTTCATAATCTAAAAATGAGTTAAAAGGTTCGTCTGACATCTTTACTGCATAAATGACCCGTGGAGAAAATCCAAATAAATCCAGTCAGACAAGAATCCATCAAAAATAAAGTAAGAACATGATTCAGAGGGAGAAATCGACTTGTGACAGTAATTCAGTCATCTGTTTACATACTCAGTTAATGCTCTCTCAGCAAAGAAAAGCACTTCACAAAAGTAAAAGTTATAGAGAAAACACTGATTACCATTTCTAAACAGAAGCTGACTCTCTATGATTGCTCATTACTGAGTCTGTGTGAATAACAGTGCAAACAGCTGAGGGGGAAAGATAAAGTGTCTCCATCATCTCCTAAAAAAAAAAACTTCAAACAACTTCTGAATAACTATTGTCAACTACTGCACTGCAGAGGTGGAATATCTCTCCTTGAACTACGGAAATGACATGAACACATACTATCAATATCATTAAGAAAATGGGATTTGTCCAGTAAAATGGTTTATGGTAAAGTTATACTTTACTATGGTTTGCTTCTATTTATTAGGAAAGCAGTGTTATAGATACAAATCACTCAGTCTTTGTCCACATCAAACATATAGATAATCCAGGTTTCTTCAGTAATAGCAATTTAACAAGCATCTGAAAACTGTGTCACATAATCAGAAAATTAGTCAGCATTTGCAAGAGTAAAAATTTTTCTCACTGATTTCTGGTATTTTCCAACTCATTTTGGCCAAGTGCTGATACCAATATATGCACATATTTTACTCCCTAATAGCAGAGAACATCATGTCCCTCCTGGAGTGGAATTAACATACTATAATACCTCCTCACATCGTAATGGCCCACTGGCAGGTGCAGACTACTTCAACATGCCATATTTATTTTTATGCAAAATCTTTAAGCAATAAACTGCACACTTTCATCCTGGCAGGCGTTATCTGTCCAAGAATGTTAATTTGGGGTCAATTATTTTAAAGCCTTTATCTACAGATACTGGTGATGTGTCAATATCATTGTGCATCCCTAATAAAAATATATCTTGGCTCAACTATTTACCTGAACATATCTAAAGCAACGTGGATGACTATTTACTTAGATTTACATTAGCTTTACTTTCGGTAATTGTTTAAGATATTTTGGTGTGTTGTTTTTGGCTGTATTTTGAGGATCCCATAAAGAATAGCAACCACCATGGTGGACACTGATGGAGATATAAATAAATAAACACACATGCATTAGCTTGGAGTCAGCCTTTGTATCTACACACAAAAAAAAGGTCCTACCTCTGTGTATGGTATCAAAGCAGATGACACACACACGAGCCTCCTTCTCCAGATACTTCAGCTTACATTTTCTGTTGCAGCACACAGCACAGTAAACCTGCCACAGAGCAGAGAGGACGACAGACATATAAGAAAAGAAAGACACAGCAATTCACAGCATGTCCAAGCGTGTTTGTGTATCTAGTCCCTTGAACAGCGTGAGATTGTGCTGGAAACAATAACACATCCTAAAGTGTCCTCTCTAATTCTGTTTTAATCACTGGCCTTTAAAGGACTTAGCCCCAGCTTTAGCACACACGGCTCAGTGGAGATCTATAGAGAAGCTGGAAAAAGAACTGCTGACTCATGCTCTCTGCTTCCATCACTGTGCTATATTTGGTGCTTGGATGTAATCTGTCTTATTTAACTATTTCTGAAACATGCAAGTCATGTCTCATTTATTTATTTCTGCAATACACAATCGGAAGAACCAATGGATGTTAAACAAGGACATAAGAGTAGCTGATTAGAAAATGTATCATACCTCTATTATTATTTAAATTTATTGGAAACATCATCAGAGCCAGCAGGAAACAAATTAACATATGGTTCTGTTAGTAATTTATATGTGCTTAAAAGAATGCATTTTTTATTGTCCTGCCCTCTTGTGTTCACACACACGTACACACGTGAACACACACACACACCTGAAACCTGCTGTGATGCAAAAATAAAGCATGAAGCAGTAGAGCTGCATTCTCCAGGTCGATTGGCTGGTCGGTATGCTCTCATTCAACCAAATTCTCATTGGTTGGACAATTGCCTGTTTTAATTTCATCAGGAGAAATGTTCGACATCAACAGTCTTTTTTTAGACTCCTCTTGCCCATAAATAATTGGCAGGAGGAGGACCAGACTACCTGTGAACAACCCCATAGTATGTAGAGTCACTATTTTGTTCCAGTATTAGTAACACCTGTGGGCACTTTAAAAAAAAAAAAAAAACATACTTGTTGATTTTATGTTTTTGTAAAATAAATAATCTGAAAAATTCAACGTTCTAACTGGGCCCTAATGCACAACAGAGATTTCCAAGTGCTCTCTATCTCTAGACATGATTGTGTTGTTTCCATAGAGGTGCAGGACTTTATACTGTAGTGAAAAACAATCCCACAGTCAGGAAAAATGTGACCAAAAAAAAAAAAAAGCCCAGAAACTGCTTAAGGTTCAGAGGGTTAAAGAATCTTGTAAGCCACAAACGGAAATAAACTGGTTTCAGCTTATCACGTGCGAGTGTTTGTCAGTTGTCTTTGTTTTCCATATTAATAAAAATGAATACCTTTAGATTTTTAAGTGTAAGTCACACAAAACAAGCACTTGACAATATCCCCTTTAAATAATACCTGATTATTTGAGAAACAAATTGCAGGTTAAATACAATTTGTAGTCCTTTGTATTTACAGATGGCCTGAAATGTTTATTTTTCACACATATGGGAATGTAAAATAAAACGGATACAGTCACTGACATACCTTCCCACAGGCTCGACAGTGGTGCCGCCTCTTGGTGAAAGTGAACCTCTGGTAGCAGTTCATACAGTTGGGAGCTTCAGAGTCTGGCACCCAAGCTGGCTGTCTGCTCCCCAGCTCCTCCACTCCCTCCCTCTTCCAGTTTACTGCCCTGGCACCGTCTGTGGGCGACTCCCCAGGATAAGGTGGGGGCTCGGAGAGTTCATCATACCCCACACTATACTCCTGAGGCTCCTGAGTGGTGTATGTGGGGCTAAAGTTGGCAGGTTCCTCTGGTACACCAGGGCTTACAGGTGAACTCTCCTCATCCTCTGTTCCTGTTGTAGAAGCACTGAGTGTCTGAACCTGCTCCTCTCCTTCTTCTCCTGCTGGTGGAGATCTGGCAGTTTGGCAGTGCAGCTGTTTAGGTCTCGCCCCTCCATAGGAGGGCTGCTGATCTGGGCTACTGCTGTGCTGGGACTGGAAAGTGTTGCTGGTCAAAGAATCACTCACCCCAGATGAGTCTTCTCGGCAAGAGTCTTGTGATACTGATGGAGCACCGGGATTCAAACTCCCCTCTACAGATACACAAATCGTTCTGTCACTTTCAGGAGCAGGCTCCTCTAGCCTTGCTTGACCACAGCACCTCAGCCCCTGCTCCACCAGCCTGTCCTCCAGAGCCCCGTCTGATTCTGAGAGAGACTCAGGTTGGGTAAAATCTCCAGAGCTGCTGCAGTAAGAAACGCCTTCATTCTGCTCTGCTTCAGTGTGAGCCTGCAGAAAAGCATCCAACTCCTCGTCTGTAACCAGCAGTTCAGCCTGGTCACTCTCAGGAAGATACTCAAAGCCAAACTCAGGAGGATCCACTGGGCTGGGTTCTGAAGAGGGAAGGTCTGCAGAAGGAACAGCGACAGCAGGTTCAGGAGAGACATGCTGCCCCTCTGGAGACAGTCTGTCCTCTGCGATTAGCTGACACACAGATGAGACGGCTGGCTCCTCTAAATGTGAGCTGTCTCCCCCGGCTTCCAAGGCTGACAAGGAATCTGCCTCTGTGTTTTCAGAGACATCTGCCTCGTCACACTGCTCTGTAACTTCATCATCGGTGGTCTTTGGATTCACTAGAGCTCCACACATAGAAACAGCTATGGGCAGGCATGACAGTCCCACTGGCTCGCTGAGCGAGGCTCCTGCAGGAGACTCTACTTCCGAGGTTCCATGCGGCTCATCCTCGTCCTTCACTGGGGTTATTTTAGAGCTATCAACAGGCTCTGGCTCACTGTGGTCTAAAGAGTTCTCCATTCCTTCATCATCTCTCTCCTCTCTATCAGCTGGCTCACTAGCTGTTGGTGATAGTGAATCATCGGTGGGCTCGCAGCCTCTTTCCGCTGCTGCAGGAAGAATGACGTCCAGCAGACTGAGTGAGGCAGAGTATCCACCGCTCTGCTCCTGGGAGTCCAAACTCAGCAGTACATTGTTCCCTGCAGAGGCTTGCTCCTCCTGGATGTCTCTAAAAGCACCACTGTGGCTCACTCCACCTTGCTCCTCTGTCACCACAGGGCTGTCAAAGTCCACCAGCAGCGCCTCCTCCTCCTCCATTTGCTTTTCTGCCACATCCAGTTCGCTGAATGCATCGTGGCTGTTGGCTCTGACCAGGATGGCAGAACTAGTGTCGTTTACAAGGTCGCACACCGGCTTCAGAGCTCTGTCCGGCATAGGAGGGGCGGAGCTTTTCGCTGGCCTGCGGTCCACAGACGACAGTAGGTCGACTCCGGTGAGAGGCTGACCTTTGACCTCTCTGTCATCGGCGCTGCGGTTGTGACTGCTGGAGCCATCGGGGCAGCTGGTGGCAGAACCATAATGAAGAGAGTTCAGGTCGGGTGGGCTCGCTGGGACGGAGGAAGCCTCTGAGGGTAAACACTGAGGGCCCAGTGAGGAGAAGGGGTACGAAGAGGGCTTCAGGAAAACAGGTTTGCATTCAAGTTCCTCTATAATTAAAAAACAAAGGATCAAAGTTAGACTCGCATACACAAAAATCACAATTAAAGTTCGATAATTTTAGGCTGTACAATTATAAGACTTAAATTTCATTTTCTTAAATTGTTTGTAGGCGTAGGATTGCAATTTCAAACAATTTACTTGACCAATCATCGGTTTCATTAACAATCAATAATCAAACATTAAAAATAATAGAATATAGTGAATGTGTATCCATAGACCAATAAAACATTGTTCGAACTCTGTTTTGTTTTTTGTTTGTTTTTTTAAAGTTATTTTTTGGCCTTTTTGTCTTTATCAGATAGGACAGTTGAGAGCAGGACAGGAAACTGGGCAAGGAGAATGGGGGAAGGACTTGCAGCAAAGGGCCATGAGCGGGGTTCGAACCCACGGCCGCTGCATCGGAGACCATAGCCCCTGTACATGGGTTGCCAGCTCAACCAGGTGGCCTACAGCAGCAGCTTATTATATTTTATATATATACATACATTATTGTTTCCAATAACATTATATATATACACATTTTATATATAACCCTAACCTTAACCCCTCCCCTCAGTATTGCTAAAACTTGCGGGTATTTAGAACATTGTTGAATAAGTTGATTCCAGAGTTGTTGTTTTTAATTTTTTTGTAAAATAATCAATGAAATTCAACTATTGTCCTGACATATGATTGATCGCATTATAACTGTGTCATACTGCACTGATGAGATTTATGAGTTCACTCTACTTTTAGTCATGGTTGTGCCGTTTCCATAAATGTGCAGACTTTTTACTGTGGTGAAAAATGAGTTCACAATGAGAAAAGATGTGACAGGAGCAAAAAAACAGTCAGAGACTGCTTGGAGTTCACAGGGTTTAGTAAGTGTGGTTTTATGTGTTGCACAGACGTGGTTTCAGAAATTACTTCGGACACTATTGTTTCCATCGATGGCTTTCTGGTGGGTCGGGCTGACAGCTAGAAATCCAAGTGCTAATTTTATTAACAACAAATGCCACCACTCTGGCCACATCAGAGCTTACATATTAGGACTGTTAACAGTAGGGCTACGTCCACACCATATAAGATTTTTCACATCTTGGTTGTTGTTTACATTCCCCCCCTTGATAATCCAGCAACCACATGTGCCATCATCCACTTCTGTTACCACAAGAATCTGTATCTCTGTGTTTTCTTGTAAAAATTGTCTAAGCTTCACATATTTAAGCAACTATTTACAAAGAAGTTTCCCTGTGGGGATTACCAAAGTAATTAGCAGCAGTTGTTCACTGCATCTGATCAACATGCTAATTTAGCATGAGACCCAGAGAGGTTAAAGCGGACAACCACCAGAGAACAACTTTAAGAAATGTTCACAACTGTTCTCTGTGGCAGTCATCAATATGACAAGTGATGACAGGTGACATCTCTTTTTTCTTTCTCAGATGCCACAGAGTGTTTACATATGCAACGCTTATAGGGGGTCAACAAAACACACGTGTTAACGACATCTAATTAGATGAAAGCAAGGTGGCATAACTGGGTTGGAAAGCAAATCTAAAACGCATTGCATTTGGTGAAATTATTTACAGGAATTAATGGATTCACAATTAATCATCAGCTGTTACTGTGCAAGTGCTTTGTGATTGATCTTACCAGTATTGAGCTCAAAGTCATCAAGCAGTTTGTCCAGATCACATACAGCTGCCTTGAAGAAGCTGTCCATGCTGGGCTACAACAAAGGGCCCTTTATGCCCTCCGATTCCTAAAATGAAACAAAAGGGGTGATAGTAAGACTCCTTTTTTACTTTTCAGGGTTAGGTCACTTTAGGTGGTAGTGTACATGCTACTTAAGGACCAAGAAAGTAGGTCATTTCTTGACACATTAACCCACTGTGGCATTCTTGTTTACTCATTCTACAGGTAGTGAAGCATGCTGGTCAATTTCATGGCAACAGAAAGACTGCAAACACAAAAACAAAGTCAAGATTGTCACACTAGAATATACTAAAGCTGCAAATATGTCATCAGATTTTCAAGTGGAAACAATAATTCACCTTAGCTCTAAATCATGACAGTGGCTTCGTCAGGCCTATCAGACTTCATAATCAGAAAAGCTGCAACCAGCCACACCTTAAAGCTGCATAAATATTTACTAAGTCAGCCAACAAGTACTTGACACAGATGCACTCACACCTGACACTGAGCTGGCAACAGTCCAGATGAATCAGATCACAAATTTAGCTTTCTGCTTTCTCATGCAGCTGATGTGTAATATCGCTGTGTACATATATGTAACTGTTGGCGCGTTCAGAAAATGTTTCTGCATATTAGTATAATGATTAACAGTAAATTTCAACTGATTCAGGCAACTAAACAGATGGACTTCCCTGTCATACAAACTTTACATTCAGGAAAAGACAATTTCTAAGATGTTTTTGACAAGATTAGAGTTATTATACATATATCCTTTCTGGGTATGTTTGGCCCATGTTTCACTCCTGGTTGCTAAAAAGTCTGAGAATAAATCTCTCCCACCAGCTTCAAACCTTCCTCCACTGGCTTCTGCTTTTTAATTGGCAGATTAAGGGGCACCCAGTTTACCATTATTAGCCATAAAGGTCTTCTTGCACCCTCCTCTTGTTCAAAGATTACAGGAGAATTACGAGCTGCTTCATAAGACAGACCAGTAGAAACGCAAAAACTGCCTCCCTAAAAGGAGATGGGTCCATCTTGGTTATTTTCTTTGATTGAATGGATTCAGTT